GGTGTGCTAGTATGTTAAAGCAATAATACAGTATCCAATCTCTTCATAGAACAGTGGTCCTTTCTAACAAGGGAAAAAATTAAAATCCATGAAATAAAGCTGTGCTTATTAATTTCAGTATTTAATCACCGTAATACTATTTTCTGTGTAATGCCGAATAAGGAAATAACAAAAGCATGTAAAAGACAAAATTAGTTCCATTATCCATAGCGTAACTATCTACGTATCTTGATGTCTGGAAAAATATAGTAATAAAAAAACAACAAGCACAGTACTAGCAGTTATGTTTATGTCACCACTATTAAGCTATATGACAATTTAAAGGTAATAATGCCACAGTAAGATAACACCTTTCCTGTGCAAGCCTTCAAAGTGCAGAGTTACTGTGGCGAGAAGAAAGCGAGGGCCCACTCCAGCCTCTCACTGATACCGAGGACACCTCAGCCACTGATATCTGGTTGACTAAGACTTGTGGTTTGCCCCAAGACAACATGGGAGCTGTACGCTATATGGGGGAGAACTGCCTTGCCCCTGTTTAGTTCAGTTTTGGTTGTTTCCTTAAAAAGAAGCCAACTGCGCTTTTCTAAGTCACCACTGAGCCTAAAAATCTACTGCCGGCCTCAGAACAAAATGTTTTTATGCAGCCTCCAGGTGACCCGTTACCTGATGAAGTAACACTGAATTTCAAAGTCAAATTGAATCGTTTGTGCTCAAAGGCAATGACTCCTCATTAAAGGACACTCCTCATTAAAGGATACTCCTCTATAGAACTCTTTTGACTTGCCGTCACATTGAGTCATTTTAATGAACGTTTACTTACACTGGATTTGTTTTGCATACATATTCTATATCTATAGTATATATATAGTATATAGATGCCTATATACTAAACCAATGTCCTTGGTAGCATGGTTCAGTCAGACATTATTCCTCACCTAAATAATGAGCACCATGTCCTAGTGTCTAGGTAACTGTTATTTCCCTACTACTTAACACAAAGACCCCCAGGCTCCTTCCTTTACTTCTTCACAACTTACAGCCCCCATGGACAACCACCATTACTTTGTCCTTCTTCCTCTTGCTAGCCAATGTGTTTACAAAAGCATTAATAGTCTGCTTTTTACAGCAGAATATTAAAATAAAGCCCTTTAATATTATAACAACATCCATATTATTTTTTGGATCTTATCACTGTTTCACAGTAGATGGTCACAAGAAGAATTAGTATCTAGCAAAATTCAAAATGTGCTTGCAGGAAGCACACACTACAAATAGGCAATTCTATAGTTCAGCATACCCATAGATAAGATGAGCATTTTCATCTTATCAGAATCTCCCTCTGGATTTAAGAGTAGATGGTTCAGTTAGAAAGAAAACTAAAAAGCTGCTACTATTTTCAATATTCTTAATTAGTAAAATTACTTATATGTAATAAGTAATATATAAGTATATATAAGTAATATACCTAAAACTAGGTAATTACAAAAGTATTGCTGAAAAAATTCCTCATTACTATGCTTTCAAAATACAATATGAATTATTATTAAGAGCAAAAATAATAAAAGCTAGAACTGGTCCTTAATTTTGTTTTCACTTCTTGGATTATCTTACAAGATTATTAAGAGCAAAAATAATAATAGAAACTAGAACTGGTCCTTAATTTTGTTTTCACTTGGATTATCTTACAAAAATATGTTTTTTTCTGACATTCCACAAAATAGCAGTGACATAATTGGAAAGCAACACTCTTCGCTACAGCAGGAAGACTATAATACAAGAAGGCAGAAGAAAGCATGAAGTAGGTCTTCATGACAGTATGTGTTTATGAGATGATAAGCATCTTAAAGGGCAACCAAGTAGATTCACTTTTTGAAGCATGGTAAGGCATCTCAGCTACTTAATTTACAAATATCAAGGCTCCTGGGGTTCAAAGAAATACGTTTCCCCTTTCTGTGTGCGTAACTACACTGCCTCTGTGCAGATACGGTCCGCAATGCATGGGCGGAGGAGCGGTGATGGCAGTGTAACGTCTAGGCAATGCAATGAATCGGATGACTAAGAAATAACAGAAGAGAAGGACGTCAGTGGTTTATTACGGGAGGCACGCGTTTCTTTCACAGGAAACACGGGCAACGGGGAAGCCATCCAGGGGGCAGCAGCGCGGGGCGGAGGAAGCGTGTTCTGGGGGTCCCCGGGGAGAGGAGGACACTGACCCCCAGGGAGCAGCGGCCGGGCTCCGCCGGCACCGCGGCAGCACGGGG